GCCCGGGTGAGCCCCCAGCCCCCGCTCGGCCGCCGCCGCCCACCGGGCCGCGGCCGCCGTCCGTCCGTCCGTCCATCCATCCCGTCGATCTGTCCGCCTCCCCATCCCCCACCCGTCCTTCCCAGGGCTCCGCGCGGGGTCTGCAGGGAGGAAAACGGCCGGGGTCGGTCAGGGCGCGCGGAGCCCGCGGAACCCCCGGCCGCGCCCGGGCGGCGGCGCCAGCACGACCCGGTCCCGGGCGGTTCGGGGCTCCGGGGCCCCGCTTTCGCCGCCGCGCGCCGTGTCCCGGGTCGTCGCCTCAGCGGCCACTTGTGGAATTCTTCCCCGGAGGCTGTAACTTTAAACCGGCCTGAGCAAGGCCTATTTTTATTTGGAAACCAGCGGCCAGAGTACTGAACCAGAGTGGAGAACACTCAGATGGAGGGCCAGCCCGCCACCTGAAGATTCCTCACAAACTGGCCTCGAAAGACAGGCTTGTCCTGGGAGCCTTTCTTTGAGATTTCAAATCTCTGTCGCCCCCTGTTCCAGGATGGACCGGACTGGTTTCTGGGGGGTTTTGGAGTGAGGATGATGCCGGAGCCTTGCCAGCCATACATGCACCCCAACATTGAGCCGCCAAGCCGTGACTCAGAGGCCACCACGCATAAGCCCGGGCCACACTCCTGCAGAAATCACCCCAGGAGCTCTTTAGGGACCGGCTTCTGGGGGTGAGGAGCAAAATGAATATAGCAGCCAAGTACCGCCAGGCCTCCTTGTACGTGGGTGACCTTCATGCGGACGTCACCGAGGACCTGCTGTTCAAGAAGTTCAGCGCCGTGGGGCCCGTGTTGTCCATCCGCATCTGCAGGGACCTGCTCACCCGCCGCTCCCTGGGCTACGCCTATGTCAACTTTCTGCAGCTGGCGGACGCCCAGAAGGCCCTGGACACCATGAACTTTGACCTGATAAAGGGCAAATCCATCCGTCTCATGTGGTCTCAACGTGACGCCTACTTAAGGAAATCTGGAATTGGGAACGTGTTCATCAAGAATCTGGACAAATCCATTGATAACAAAACCCTTTATGAACACTTTTCAGCTTTTGGGAAGATCCTGTCCTCCAAGGTGATGAGTGATGATCAGGGCTCCCGGGGCTACGCATTCGTGCACTTTCAAAACCAGATCGCTGCCGACAGGGCCATCGAGGAGATGAATGGGGCACTACTTAAGGACTGCCGGCTGTTCGTTGGCAGATTCAAAAGCCGCAAAGATCGAGAAGCCGAGTTCCAAAACAAGGCCCATGAGTTCACCAATGTTTACATCAAAAATTTTGGAGATGAGATGGATGATGAGAGACTGAAGGAAGTTTTCAGTAAATATGGCAAAACCCTGAGTGTTAAGGTTATGACAGATTCCAGTGGAAAATCCAAAGGCTTTGGCTTTGTGAGTTTTGACCGCCATGAGGCTGCCAAAAGGGCTGTTGAAGAAATGAATGGAAAGGACATAAACGGACAGCTGCTTTTTGTAGGCCGGGCACAAAAGAAAGCAGAGCGACAGGCTGAGTTAAAGCAAATGTTTGAGCAGCTGAAACATGAAAGATTTCGGCGGTGCCAGGGTGCGAAGCTCTATATTAAGAACCTGGATGAGACCATTGATGATGAAAAACTGCGGAGGGAATTTTCTTCATTTGGATCAATTAGCAGGGTTAAGGTAATGCAGGAAGAAGGGCGAAGCAAAGGGTTTGGCTTGATCTGCTTCTCCTCTGCGGAGGAGGCCACTAAAGCAATGACTGAGATGAATGGCCGCATCTTAGGCTCCAAGCCACTCAACATCGCCCTGGCCCAGAAACCCTAGGAGACGAAAACTTTCTACATCAGCCAGTGTGTGCTGCAGACTGAGGAATGTTAGTGATCTCTGCCTGAATTCTCCTCAGTTAATTTTAAATTCCAGCTGATGGCTGGTTAGTTTAGTAAACGTTGTGATGGAAAGTTTTGTATACAAAACTATTTATTTTCCTTTGGAGAAAAAACAAGTGAATCTTAGAACCTTGGTTCTTTTTACAGAGTCACACCATATGATTATAATATGGTATATTTTTCTGATTTTGATATAGTGTTCATAGTAATAAGTATAATTGGATATATTTTTACTACATTTTGAACCAACTGAAGTGTGGTAATTACTTGCATTTTTTGCATACTTTTTCTTATTTTAATAGTATTGCTAGCTTTAATTTCTTCCATGAAAATATGCCCAAAGTATTTCTTAAAATACCTAAACATTGCAAAGTAATTTATTTTTATAAAAAAAAACTTTCTAATTTCTCATCTAATGTTTTTAAAAGAAACCAAAGTTTTAAAATTGCTACTACAAACTCAGTACCTATGAATTAATATTTAAAATAGTAGAAAATCATTGAATTTTCTTTCAGTTTTTATCCTGAAATGATTGTTTTTCTGATGGCCAAAATTAATGATGGAATTACTTTAGTGTTGCCTACAAATCTGCCTTATAGGATATTTTACTGTTCTTCCCATTGGTTAACATAATTCAGGTGCTTGCTGGTTATCAGATTTGTGACTTGAGTAGTAAAATCTTAACTTCTACATTCCTTAAGTTATAACCCTGTATCAATTCAGGTCAAAAATTGGCCTTCGCATACAGCATGAAATTATGTGTTAAGTTTTGAATCAGGAACTAATATTATGTAAGTCATATATAGGGAGCATAGACATTTTGTTTAGCAACTGTGTTTTCTAATTTCTGTTATATGTTGTTCCATGTAGTGATACTATCTCAGGGTTCAGAGAAGTAAAACTTTCCTATTTTTATGACCTCCCTATCCTTTTTATTAGACCTTAAGAGCTTTGTAACCCAGTAAAGCTCACTTTTAGATTTGATTAATCAGAAGCTCACTAACTGATTTTCTGATAAATTGAAGTTACAGCACTTAGCCTGTTGTCCAGAATAATTTTGATTTCAGCCCCATTTCCAGACTTTTCTTCTCTCCTGCCTTTTCTTTATATGATGTGGTTCCTCTTTACTTTTTAAAAAGGGTTTTATTATACTTACTTTTACTGTGTGCTATTTGAAATCCAGTTTGGAGATAGATCCAAGAGTTATTTACATTTAACTAATTACTTTTAAAATTCTGATTCTCTCATACCAAAGGTGTCTAGAAAATAGTTTTCTTGTATTTGTTGTTTTATTTTTATTTTTCCCTCTGCTTAGTTGCTCCCTGTAACCATATATCCAAGTCCTCTGTTTCATATATTACCAGTACAATATTACAGAAATATTAAAATATTTTACTTTGGCAATACTTTAGTTGTGAAAGAATGAGAAAATCTGTTTCTGTTTATTTGTCTATCAACTATATGAACATTCATTGCACATTTTCTAAATTAAAAGTATCTTTTAGACAATGAAAAAATTATAGCAACATATAATCCTACTCTGCAGACAGATCTTCTATTAAAATGTGTTGCATCTCTTCCCCAATTTTTCCTATACTTATACACATAATTTAACAAAAATAAAATCATACTTATAAAACTTCTTAAAACTGCTTTCCTAATTTGACAGTATGACACAGTCAGCTTCCATGGGTAGTTGGAAGTAAGTATTTGCACTATAATTTTAATGATTTTTTTATCTTCCTTTTAATGTTTGTATCATGTAACAATTTTCTCTTGATAAACATACAGGTTACTAGATTATCTCTTCCATTCTCCTTTTTTTGTTCTATCATAAACAACTTGGAGATAAACACCCTTGCAAATTCATATATGCTGATATATATAATTAATTTATTAAGAAAATGTGTGATTCATTGGAATTAATGTTTAAAAGGACAACAATTTAAAAACTAATTTTGATAAATATTACCCAAATGCTATTCAGAAACTTGTGCCACTTAACATTTCCACTGTGGAAAAAAAACAAAAACAACCAACATTTCTATTGTGAGTAGGACTACTCATTTCCATATACTAAGAGGGATTTTGCTTACGTTGTCTGATTCAACATGATATGTAAAAACAAAATATTTCATGATTATTTATTTTACTACTTCATTACCTCAAAATTTAAACAGCATTTCTTGTAATTACTGGACATTTGTATTTTCATATTTTTGTAAATGATGTCAGTTTATTTTCATGATCTTAATGTGTTTTCCTGTGGGGGAGTTTTTTATTTATATGGAGTTTTTAGACTTCTTTTCCCTGGTACTCTCACCTTGTTTATGGTTTTGAGGGTCAGTCCAAAATTAAATTTTTAACCTCAGATTTTTCAAACTCTTAGTTTGGTGGCTTTAATGTTACATTTCAAAACACTTTAAACACCTCAAATATACAAACCCTCCATACACACATTCAATTCATCTGTATTGTCTTCTATGACTTTCAGAGTTTCATATTCTTAATACTTTCTAAGCAAAGCTTTTGTGTATACAGTATCTTATTCATAGCTTATACTAAATATTTTTTTTAAAGTATGTTGCTTTTCCAATTCTACTAACATATGTTGGTAAATACTGATTTACTATGAAAGTGTACATGGAATCCATAAGCCAATTATAATTCTTTAGCCCTTTGGATTACTGTGTTGAGAAGTACTTACCTGCAAAGCAGAGAGCTTTTAAGAAAGGGTGCCAGGCAACAGGACTGGAAGCTGTAGTACACATATCAAGCCTTGACATCTTTTTCTGGAAAATCCATTTTATATAAATGTTCATGTATTTGAACAATAGTTCACAGTACTTGTAAATGGATTAGCAAGATAATATCAGGGAACTGAATTCTCTTCTCACATGTATTAAGATTTAATAGGGCATAATGTCAGTTGTTTAGGTGGATTGTGGCTATAGTTTTATGACACAGTAATATGCCATTTTAGTAAAAATTTCTTATTTTTAATATTTACCTTAAGAAATGACTGTCAGTTTACAAAAAGTTTACAGAAAATCCTGTAGGTTTTTATTATTTAAATTTTGCTTACTCTAAATTTTGTGTGTGTGTGATGCTATTGAGTTCTTGTGGCAGCAGAGATTCAGGCATTAAAGAAACTGTACTCTTTTTAAGTCCAAGTGCCTTGATAAATGAAAAGAATCTTCACTTTCTAATAAGTATTCCTGTAAAAGCTAATTTCCATAGAGATGCCTTACCCCACTGCTTCTGCGCCCCCTTCTCTGTCCTCACACATTGCCAAGTTTGTTATATGGATGTCTGCTTGTACAGCCAATTGAATAAATATGTGCCTTTTGAAATTTTATTTTTTAAGATTTTAAGTGGATTTATAGTTAGTAAAAATAAGCTTTTTAAAGTGGTTTAGAATTGATACTTTCATGTTCTTAACATTTGTATAAATCCATTGAAAAGAGATCAAATAAAGGCTGAATCTTTCAGTGGTGTCCAAAATTCTCATGTCCAAAAACTATTTTCATTTATTTATTTTTAAGTATTTCTAATTTTCTAGCAATCAGTTTCTTATAAGAGTAAACTGAAAACAACTTTCATTTTTAAATGAAGATGTTCATTCATATTTTATGTTTTAAAAGAGCAATTCTTGTATGAACTAGTATTTGTTTTTAAGTTATTCATAATTATGGGACCATGATTGAAAAGAACTTCTAAGTTTTCATCAGGGACTATTTTAAAGACACTTTTGAATTTAATTGTTAAAGCAAAATTCAGTTAATATTTTGAGGATTCTGAATTAGCTTACTTGTATTCTATTTGGAAAATGTACATCATAATGTAATTTTTTAAATTAAATAATAATACTTCAAAAAGATAATTTTTAAATATATAAAGGGTCAAACAAATTAAATAATCTCAGAATATCTTTGGCTGCAAGTAATAGAAAATCCAACTCACATTAGAAAAGGAAATTTTATTAAAATATTCAGACTTAAGGTATCTTCATGTAAGGTATATGAAAACGTCTATATTGGTTCTAACTCTTCACCCTCTCTGTCTCAGTGTCATCATCAGGGAGAGGGTCAGGATGTTTACAAGAATTCCTGTCATCACACTGAGACACAGTAACATTCAGAGTATAATACCTTTCCTAGAAACCTTTTAACAACTTTATCTCTCAGTTCTCATTGTCCATTATTGATATGTATATTCTATAAGATCTGCCATTAGAATTAAGACATAAGTCAACTTTCTGTGTAGAATGGGCTTATGAATGAAAGAAATTTCAGTAAGAATGGAGATATTTATAGGCGTATGCATCCACTAAACCCTGGATTTTTTTTTTATCATGTATACCTAATTTTTAATTTCAGTACTTACTGAATATTTTCTCCTGCTAACATTAACTTACAATTAGTTCTTGAAATTTCTCCCTGCAAATAATTTTCAACACTTGAGTCAAACTCACCAGTTTCTTCTCCCTCAGGTTGTATCATCATAGGGACTAAACTGTGCAATATATCCTGTATAAAATTGAATTCATTTTTGTTTAGTAATGGGAATTGTGTTTTTACATGTCATGCTTTATTAGATCTATATTAGACATCTATTGAAAATTTTACTGAAAAGTTCAAATTCAATTTAGTCACCCCAGGGGCTTTTCAACCTTCCTAGGTGGTTCAGTGGTAAAGAATCTGCCTGCTGATGCAGGAGACATGAGAGACACGGGTTCAATCCCTGGGTCAGTAAGATCCCCTGGAGTAAGACAGGGCAACTCACTCTAGTATTGTTGCCTGGAAAATTATGGACAGAGGAGCCTGGTGGGCTATAGTCCATGGGGTTGCAAAAAGTCAGAGATGACTGGGCATACAATATACAATGGATTTCCACGAAAAATAATTATCAACAGATTACAAATGATCAAGAATATTTCAAATATAACTCTACATTTAATAAGGTATTGGTTTCTTGAGCTCTAATTTAGTCTGTCAAGTATATCTTCATGTATGTTACTTAATATTTTAGAATCATACCACCAGAGGGAAAGAATTTACTATGTATCACCAACTAATGTGATATTCTGTATAAAGAATTTTTTAAAAAACTTCCCACTGACAATGTAATAGAAAAATCTTGAAAAAGCATCTACAAAGTTAGGTGCCTTCAAATGGCCCCAGTATATAAAATGAATCTAAGTACCACAAACCTAAATGGATGGGCACTCATTTTCTTTACTAAAGAATTTATATTAGATCCTTTAATACATTAAAATTGTCAGAATGAACAAAACTGGACTTATCCAAGCTTTTCAGTTTAATTTTCCCTGTATAACACAAATTTGGTACAACCTCACATTTTAACTATGCGCTGTAAGAAAACAAAAAACAGAGGTACTAAATTCCGAATTACACATTTACTTGTATTTGAATCTGTTAAGATCAGATTATTTTGTAAGTTTATTCAGAGGAAGTATTTATAGCTCCTTTTTATTTTTGTCTAATGGTCAGGTCTAAGAGTTTATAAAATGTTTTTAACTGTATTGAAGTTCCCCGAATGACACAATTGAACCCATCAGTTAAGAAAAGAAAAATGATCCTCTTAGTAGCATTCTTTGTCATAGAACAGGCTTAACTTCTGAGAGAGATTGGCAGTTTAGACAACGATGTCACATCAGAAGTTGTTAACCCACCATATTTACATCACCTTAGATAAAATTATCCCTGGTTAAGTTCTGCCAAATGCTAACAGCACATTTGAGTTTCAAATGTAATGTCACTAACATGGAGGATGTTGTTATTAATTTTTTTTGCATACAGTGAATATTGGTTATGATTCACTGTGTTGTATGTGTGTGAATTTTTTAATTGGTGTTTCCAATGGAATATTCTTATCTCAGAAAACCATATCTGACAGGGTGTTTTGAATCACAATTTTGATTTATATTCCATTTTATTTTGTACATGTGCCAGTGGCATACCAATACCCCACAATTTTGACATATTGCTAAATCTAGTTCCTTGAAGTGAAAATAAGTCTTTATAATAGTAATTCCAGCAAATCTTTGTTAAGCAAAAAAGTGCCTCAATTTGAATGCAAGTCAGATGTTAGAATTATTTTGACACATCACTATTTTACTGAATTACCAAGGGGATTGTTAGTAATCTAGTATTATCCACTACTCTATTCACTTATATTTCATGCATAGTACTGAGGTTGTATGGTTATTTCATTTTTATTTTAATTTACTTTATTTAATAAATACATTTATCTAATTTACTATTTATTTTTTATTTTAACCAAAATATATTCAAACCTCTCATAGCCATGTCACATGTAAATCTTTACCATGCCTAATACATGCATTATTTTTGGTCCTGGTGTCTCTTTTCATCCTATTCCTATGCTATGATTTCTCTTGGTCAGTTTGCTAGAAATAAACTGTTCTTATTCAAGTTTTTTTTAAGTGTCATCCTAAACTCTGACTCACTCAAAGCTTTAACTTTTTCTCAAATAGTATGCTGTCTGTTACATGGAATAAAAGAGATCTTCTAACTGGTTAATTAAAAAAAAAAGAGAGCAGGATTTATTGCCATATCAAAATAAGTAAGAGCTCTTCATTTGAAAATGAAGTATTCTTTTCTTTTCTTACAAGGGTTAAGAAAGACTTTCTATAGACTGTTACACTATAGAGGCATCAGTACCTGTTTTGAAATTAGACCATTGGCATATTGTAGGGAGAAAAAAAAGCAAGCATTTACAAAAGGTCAGGGAGGCTCATCTTCAAACATTTAGAATGTTACTTTTAAATATTTTATTATTATTATTTTATTAACAACTTATTCTCCTCCGTACCTATTTTTTTTTTTTTTTTTTAGCATTTTAGGGCATAGATTGGATATATGTCTTAGTGGGATATCTATTATTTTACCAGGAACATGTGATGGAAACTGGCCTGCCTTTGTAAGAGAAAAAGTAAAGCAATCATCAGTTTTTAAAAAGAAAATATTGGGTAGAGAAATAACATTCAGTAGCAAATCATTACATCTAAATGAAGTCTATTGTTCAGGATCAACTTGGGAAGTTAAATGAACAACTAATGCAATTTTGTGAATTATCATGTCCTCTTAGACTGTTATGAATTAGGTGTCATAAAAGTAACCATTTTCAAATGTGTGATTCATTGGTTTGTAGTATATTGAAAAGGTTGTGTGAAATCACCTTTATCCAATTCCAGAATATTTTTTATCATATCAGAAGAAACTTCATATATCCACGAGCAGTTAATCCCATTTTCTCCTCCTCCTAGAACCTAGCAAACACAAATTTATATATCTAGAATTTGCCTGTTTTGGACATTTGACGTAAATGTTATCATATGTTACCTTTTGTGTTTAGGTTCCTTTGCCTAGCTTAATGTTTTAAGATGTTCATATTGCAGCTTATATCAGTACTCAATTCCTTTTTATGCATGAATAATATCTATTTGTATGGATATACCACATTCTTTTGGGCTTGCCTCATAGCTCAGCAGTAAAGACTCCACCTGCAATGCAGGAGACTTGGGTTCAATCCCCTGAAGAAAGACATGGAAACCTATTTCAGTATTCTTGTCTGGGAAATTCCATGGACAGAGGAGTGGGCTATAGTCCATGGGATCACAAGAGTTGGAAATGGCTTAGTGACTAAATAACTACCACCACCACATTCTTTTTATCCATTCATCTTTTATTGTATAGTTAGGTTGAAATATAAACAGATCATGGGTTGGATGGGTGAGAGCCCAGGTTATGCCTTTTTTTGGTGATATCTAAAAGCTTAATATTTTACATTTCGATCTACAATCTACCTGAAATTTATTTTTTGTTATAATTTGAGTTCAGAAGTGATCTTTTTTATTTCCATTTAGACATCCAGCAGATTCAGTACTGCTATTTACTGAAAAGTATAGCCTTTTCCCTGCCTAACTCTGAAGTTCTATCATATGCCTTTATTTGTTTTACCAAGTCAGTTTCTGGATTTCTATTCTGTTAGTCTAGTTGTTTATCCTTTGCCAGTGTCATGTAGTCGTTATTACATTGTAATCTTTATATCAGAACAAATCCTTTCATCTTGTTATTCTTACTAAAGATTTACTCAGTTATTCTTAGTTATCTGATTATTATTAGAAATGAAAAAAACACAACTTGTGAAGTTTCATACATCTAGCTGTGCATATGTATGCACATGCATATAAACATGTATTCCTTTGGGAATTCATCATGATCATATTGATTCTGAGTTGAAAGCCTACTGAATAGTCTTCTAACTCATGAAAATGGATATCACTTTAATTGTATCCCTTAATTTTTTCAACAATACTATGCAGTTCTTGTTTAGAAGTCTTGCATATTTTTAGTCTTATTCCTAGCTGTA